AAGATTATCGATCTTCTAATAGTTAGTTCCGCTAAAGTAGGGCTCTCCAATATTTATCCTATTTTTATAAAATAAAGGAACTTAAAGATTTAGGGGCGCTATTTAGTTTTTATCTATTCTTAAACTTTAAATATATAAGAAGTCTTTATTATTTTATTAAATATAGACGTTAAAATAAAATAATATTAATAAACTATTTTTAATAAATAGAATTAGCGATATAGGATAAACTAAATACGAGGTTAAAGTATTAGAGTAGATATTTATTAAATAGTATAAAAAGTATTAATATATCTTAATAATAGGATAATAGCTATAGAAGTCGGAATCTATTAAGGATTATATAATAACTTATTTATTAAATATATTAGCCTTAAAAATAGATAGCGCTTAAGCGTCCTACTTATACCTCGCCCTTAATATAGGCTTAGCGTATCGAGGGGTAAGTAGATATAGAGGTCGGTAATAAAGTCTAGGACGTAAGTCCGAGTAGAACGGCCTCTAATATAGATCTTAATAATAATAATAAATATTTTAATAAGAACTTAAAGGATTAAAGTAGGGAAAGGTTCTATATAAATAGTAATTAGATATAAATTAATCGATCCTAAGCTATAAAAAAGTTCTATTTTAAAGGGGCGCTTTTACTCTATATAGCGAAAGGGAAATTAATTAATATTCTAATAATTAGATATAGGTTTTATATAATAATATAACCGAATACGGAGACGATAGTAGGGGCCCTAGGAAGAGTTCTCTTTTCTTCTTAATAATCTATTACCCTAGAATCGGTTTATCCGGAGATAGGGTTTAATAGTCGGAAGAGCTTAGCGCTTTTATTAAATTTAGTATATCCTCGATATCCCTTAAAAATCCGTAGGAGGGAATAATTCTTATACGAGGTTATACTTATAACTATAATAGGTCTCTAAGGTAAATAGCCTCTAGTTAATAGAATAATATAGATAAGGGAAGTTAGTAAAATAGATCTATAATTTTGGGAAAAGGATTAGCTCTAAGGATCGGGTATATTAGGCCTTAAATAGACGGTTTAATAGCGGGAGGTTACTAGCTAGGTAATTAGCTAGAGGCTCTTTATTACTTAGCTCGATGCTCTTAGTAAGCTTCGGCCGTTTAGTATATATTTAACGATTAACTTAGAATTAATATAGATAGGGGGAATCTAATTATTTAATTAAAATATAGTATTATAATAGCTAGAAAGTAATATTAACGTAATATAATTTCTACTTAGTACTCTAAATATTAAAATAAAGTAATTTAACTAAGTATAGGTAAATAGTAGGAGTAATTATAACTCTCTTAAAATAGCTAAATATTTTATTATATAATTAATAATATATATAAATAGATTAACGAGATTCCTACTATCCCTATCTACTATCTAGCGAAACTATAATTAAAGGAACGGGCTTAGTAGAATTAATAGGGAAAGAAGACCCTATTAAGCTTAACTCTAATTTAATATTATAAAAAGATATAGGAGGTATAGAATAAGTAGGAGCTCTAGCGCTAATAAAATACTATTACTCCTATTATTTTTTTACTTATTTAATAGAGCGGGGCTAGATTTATATTTAATTTTTAATATTAAAGTCCTTCGCGGGCTAACCTAGGTCGGAGATATTATTAAATAGGGAGTTTAGCTAAGGTAGTATATCTATTAAACTATAATATAGGTATCTTAAAGGGGGCTTATAGAGAATAGAAATCTTTAATAGAATAAAAAGGTAAAAGTCCCTTTAATTTTAATTTTTAATATAAATATAAACTATAAAAGTATAGCTTATCGATCCTTTAGTCCCTCGGAGTTTAAAGCTAAAGGTACTAGAAAAGTTATTATAGGGATAACTAGCTTATAGCGGCTAAGCGTTTATAGTGATATTGCTTTTTAATCCTTTAATATTAGCTCTTCCTATTATATTAAAGTAGAATTCGGTAAGTATTAGATTATTTACTTATTAATAGGGAATATAAGCTAGGTTTAGATTATCGTAAAATAGGTTAGTTTTACTTTATTAATAATCTTATTATAATAGTAATTAAGCTTAGTATAAGAGGAATTGCTTATTTAGATAATTAGTTTTTATAGCTATCCGACTAAGTAATATTACGAAGCTATTATCTATTAAATAATAGCTAAACGCCTCTAAATTAGAATCTATACTAGAAAGCGACGACGCCTCCTATATATATAGATAGATACGAATAGGCCTCTAGCTTAACGGCTTAATAGGTAAAGAACGCTAACGCTCTAGAAATAGGTATTAATACTTTACGAATTATAATTTTAATATAAATAAGGTCGAATCCTCTATAGATAATTTTAATATATAAAAAGGTCCTATAAGTAATAGAATAGCCTTATTATTACGATCTATTAAGGGTAAGCCCTATTTCGCCTCGATTTCCTCGATAACCCGGTACTTAATACTATAATATAGAGGGGTTAAGATAAGTAGAGGGGAAGATAGAGGAGGGGGGGAAGAGAGAGCGAGAGTCCGTATTTAGCGCCTTACTCTTGCGACCTCGCCGCTATATCGCTACGTTTTCGCTATATATTATAAAGTAGACGCTACTATTACGGCCGCTTATAGCGTCCGCTACTATAGACTACGCGCCTATAGCGCGGGATCTTTTAGGGGGCCCCTCTAGGGCTTAAAAGATTTTTCTTCTCAATTCCCGGGTAGGTAGTCTCTAAGAATAGCTAGAGATAACCCTAAGTCCTACTATCTATAGAGGTAGTAGGGTTTTTAGCGTTAAAGTGGAAAGCTACCCGGGAATTAGACTAGTTTTAAGGCTAGCAGCTACCCGGGAGTTGGCTGAAAAACGACCAAGTCGGACACCCTAGAGCTACCCGGGAATTAGGAGACGAATTCGCCGATTCCTCCACTACTAGGCCGTTTCCCGTTACTCTTCTTAGTATACTAGAAAGAGCGTATTATCCTTAATATATTTCACTTTTAAAAGTACTATATATACTTAAACGCTATTTATTTTAGCTTTTAAGAATCTATTTATAGTATACTAATATTCTTATTAAGTTTCTAGGCCGAAATCCTACTACGCTACCTAAACGTTAAAAAGCCTAGCGAAATATATTATAATCGAATAAATATACTTAGATTACCCTATAGCCGGTCGTATATCGCTATAGTAGTGTTAGGGCGGCCGTAATAGTAGAATCGAGGTTATAGCGAGCTACCTAGGAATTAGGAGCTACCCGGGAATTAGGAATCTAGAGGCGCTAACGACCCTTAGAATAGCGCAGGGCGGCTATAGCCTACTAGGGCATACGTAGGCACCTATAGCTATTTAGTAGAGTTAGTTCTATATAAGCTACGAAAAAAGTTACTAAAATCTATTCTCTAAATTTTCCTATAATTAGAGTAGGGCCCCTACTAAAAAAGATTAATAACTTTTAGCTATAATAGTATACCTACTAAAAATAGGACCTAGGGTATATAAGAAGGGGAAAGCGAAAGTAGAACCCGGGTAGGCGCCTTAGTATATCTTTTAATAATAAGAATCCACTAAATACTATTCTATATTATATCGAATGCTACTTAGTACCCCTATTACGAGCCTACTAGTTCAAGGGGCTATTAAGTAGTATTTAACCTCTATAGAGGTAGCTATCTAAGCGGTCTACTAAACTAGAATTACCTTTTAGCGCTAAGAGGTCCGCCTCTATAGCGATGTAAGATAGGCTCTATAAATAACTAGCTATTAGCTAAACCTATTTCTAGAATAGCGGGAGACGATATATATAATAGAAGCCGATTAGCTAACGCTATATACCGGGCTCTCCTCTTAGGGCGCTCTAGCCTCGTACTCCCCGCCTATAATAGATACTATATAGTAAACGGTGCCTTAGGGAATTTAGAGGGGTAAGGTAGATACCGTTAGCGGGCCTCGTAGGCTATACTTAAATTACCTATTAATAGTACGTTCTTAGCGAACGTAATATTAATAATTAAATATCTCTTTAATAGTACTTTAGCGCCCTAATAATTATCCTTAGCGTATAATAATTACCTAGTTAATTCTACTAGTAATTATATATTTATTTTAAAGATTAAGCTATATATATCTAAGTATAAGTAATTATAAAGCGAAACTACGAATAGCTTATTATATAAGTTATCGTTTATTTAATAGTATTTTACTATATAGATAACTATAGTAATTCTAGAGCTAATATATATTAAAAATCCTAATTTCGGAAAGGATATATTTATTAAATATAAAACTAATACCCTTTAGGGCTCTCTTAGTAATTTATAATAACTTCTTAAATCGTATAGCCCTATATTAGCGATAATTCATTTAAATTTCTTCCCTATTAACTTTCAATATTATAGTATTATCCTAGTATAGTTATAATAGGTAATAGAAGGTTAGGGCTCGACCCCGGAGAAGGAGCCTAAGAAACGGCTATTATATCTAAGGAAGGTAATAAGCGTATAAATTACTTAATCCTAACTTAAGGAGGTAATAACGATAAATACCGATATAGGGCTCTTTTAAGTCCTATAATTAGAATAAATATAATTTAAATCCTTTAATAAGGAATAATTAGAGGGTAAATCTAATACTAATAGCCGTAGTAATTCTAGCTCTAATAGCGTATATTAAAATTATTATAGTTAAAAAGCTTATAATAGAAGCTCGGCCTCTAGTCGGCTAGTCCGCCTTACTATATATACTAGTTCGGCTAGGGCTTTACCTTCTACGGAACTATATCTCCTTTATTAAGGGTATTAGGGAAATAGGACGTTTATTTTAAAAAAATTAGAGTATTCTAGGTAAGCTTATACTCGAATATATTAATATAGAATAATAGAATAGGATATATAGTCTTATTTCGTTAATTTCTAGGACCGCTATAATAATTAATAGGGATAATTAAGGGCATTAATATTTAATCGTTAGAAGTAAAATTCTTAGATCGATTAAAGACTAACTACTATAAAAGTATTTACTAAAGATATTTTTATTTATTAAGAATAAAAGTTAAAGGATCGAAGACGATTAGATACCATTATAGTCTTAACTATAAACTATACCGATTAGGGATCGGATAGTATTATTTCTTAACCTATTTAGTACTTTATAAGAAATTAAAGTGCTTAGGCTCTAGGGGGAGTATAGTTATAAAGCTAAAACTTAAAGAAATTAACGGAAGGGCACTACTAGGGGTAGAGCCTATAGCTTAATTTAACTTAATATAGGGAAACTTACTAGGTCTAGATATAATAAGGATTAATAGATTAAGAGCTCTTTTTTAATTTTATAGGTAATAGTATATAGCTATTCTTAATTAATAGAATAATTTATCTACTTAATTATAATAACGAACGAGACCTTAACCTATTAAATAGTCTATATTACCCTAGTAATACGCTAATTTCTTAGAGGGACTATTAGCTTAAGCCGATAAAAGTTTAAAGTAATAATAGGTCTATAATACCCTTAGATATTCTAGGCTATATACGTATTATATTAACGGGGCTAGTAAGTACTACTTTAGCCGAAAAGTCCGAGTAATCTTATAAAACCCTATTATACTAGGGATAGAGTATTATAATTATTACTCTTTAACGAGGAATCCCTAATAAGCGTAAATTATTAGCTTATATTAATTACGTCCTTACCTTTTATATATACTACTTATCGCTATTATCGATTAAATAGCTTAGTAAAGCTTTCGGACTAGTCTAGAGTAGGGGGCGACCCCTATTCTAGATTAGAAAATTATCCGAATTTAGTTATTTAGAGGAAGTAAAAGTTATAATAAGGTCTCTATTAATAAATTAGTAAAGGGATTATTACTAAATATCTATTTATAATCCTTTATAAACTATATTATTACTTTAGCGGCTCGTTCTATAAGCCCGTTAATCTATTAATCTCTCTATTTATACTAATAATACTTCTAAGTATTCTTAGTAAATTATTAAAACTTTTAATAATAAATCTCTTAGCTCTAATATCGATAAAGAATATAGCGAAATACGATATATAATATAAATTATAGAATTTAGTGAATTATCGAATCTTTAAACGTATATAGCGCCTTCTAGTATCCTAGGAGGTATACCTATCCGAGTATCGTTTTAACCCTCGAGCCCTAATAGCCCGGTATTAGGGATCTACGTTTATAGGCCCTTAAAAGTAGTAGCGGACCTACGTAGCCCTTCTTTACGTAGTAGTTATAGCTCGTATTAGAGTCCCGTAAGCGCTTACCTCTAAACCCCCTATAAGCCCGCCTTATATAGTAACAGTTAACCTCGGATTAGGTAAGAATATTTACTAAATTTAAGTATATTAATAAATAGAGGAAAAGAAATTAATAAGGATTACTTTAATAATAGCGAGTAAAGTAGTAATAGCTTAAATTTAAAATCTAGCTCCTTCGGGGTCCGAGTTATAATTTATAGAGGATACTTCGAGTTATAGTTCCTTCCGAGTTCCCTAGAATAGGACGCTATAGAGGGTAAGAGCCCTATCTAGTAGGAAACTATATTTATATAAAGCTCCCTTAACGAGTCGAGTAGTTTAGGAATATTATTTTAAGGGGAGGTATACTCTTTCTAAGGCTAAATATTAATTAGAGATTAATAGCATATAAATAGAATAATTAAAAGATAAAAAGTATTTTAAAAAGAGAATTAAATAGTATATAAAATTATTAAAAGGGAAGCGCTCGCTATTAAATATAGGTTTAATAGTTTAATTAGATCTATAACCTAGGGCAATCCGCTAGCCTCGGCTAGTATTAGCTTTCTATTAGGGGTAAAGGTATTAAGAATATAGCTCTCCTTCGGGGGAGTATTATAGCTTATCGTATTATACCCTTTAAGGGGCTAAGGTATACGCTCCGTAAGGATATTAATATAATAGTAATTAATAACCTATCTTAAAATACGGATTAAGGAGT